GGAGCAATATATATAGTGTAAACAACAAAGGTCCAAGAATGGATCCTTGAAGTACACTGTAGTTTAGGTTTCTAGGTGATGAGGAGGTACCAGCAACATTAACTGTTTGGGTGCGACCACGAAGATAAGAAGTAAACCAATTCAGAACAGTCCCTTTAAATCCAAAGTATAGATGAAGACGGGATATCAATATATTGTAGTCCAGGGTATCAAATGCTGCTGAGAGGTCGAGCAATACGAGTATGACGTCTTTACGGGAGTCAAGGGTCTTCAAAATGACATTAGTTACACGTAAGAGTGCGGTCTCAGTGGAGTGGTGTGCGCGGTAAGCTGACTGAAGTGAAGCAAATAAAGCATTGTGGTTGAGATAGTTGTGGGTTTGGATAGCAGCTGACTTTACTTATAAATGCAATGTTAGCCAAATGTCGGTAGTTCTGAAAGGATGCTGAGTCCAATTTCTTAAGCTTAGGACGAACAACCGACATCTTAAAAGGAGTAGGAAACCAGCAGCCAGTGAGGTGCGCACGATCCTAGCAACAACAGGCGATAGGTCAGACGCTAGCTGCTTCACATCTGATGTAGGGATAGGGTCTAGTTCGCAAGTCTTGGAAGATAGTGAGCGTATGACATCTACAATATACGACTGAGTCAGAAGGTGTCTCAAAATCTGTAGACTGACACGAAAGTTCCCTACCCTCAACAAACGGTGACGACAAACAGTACTGTAAAAAAAATTCTTACTTACAGGATTTGTTGTCCAAAGCTCTAATTGTTTCAGGTGAAGAGTAAATCATTGAGACATTTTTTGCTTTGTCTTAGCGGGTTTCTTTTTGATCATTTGCACCCGGAAATACGTCACAACTTAACAGCCCTATGCCACCCAGCTGCATGATCTCGCAATGTGGACAATCTTGAGAATTTTGTTATTGTTTTATTTCATACAGTATGGCTCACTAATTACCTGTGAGAATGTAAGACAGAATCGAATGAAGGGCACTTTTTAAACTTAGATATTGAATATGCAAATATTTATTTATAACTATCTCCTCCAGGTGATCTGGTTTCGACAGCCCATCAAAAAAAACAAAACAATCATCGCGCAGGACGAAATCTGATCAGGCGGTCCATACAAAAAATTGCGGCCGCAGCCAGAGAAAGTATCTCTGAATCTTTGCTTTCCTAGCTACGTTATGGACTAGCAATACATTCAACATTCTACCTATGCTTATAACAAGCACCTATGGGTCAAATGGTGCGCTGTGGTTTCAACTCTTTTATGAACTTGGCAAAAATGGATGTTTTTTGAGATGCACAAATTTATGTATATATTTTATAAAGAACACAAATTGAAACTAGCTATCTATTTATTATATAAACGAGTTTTAGATGAAATCTTTGAAAATGGTTTGCAATAGACCATTTTGTTTTAACACTATTTTTGAACTTCGTGCAAGCTAAACCAATAGGTGACAACATAGATTGTACTGGGAACTCCGCTTACTTTGTATATTAGGTATGCACGCTTCTGAAAATTACTCTAAGCGCGTGCACAGAAGCGCTTTACTCATCAAGCCCAAAGTGACATTTGCGTAAGCCAGTTAGAATCTATTGCTTGTACATGCGCAAACTTATATGGTTTGAAGAGGTCTTTGCTTGTTAGTGTGGTAGTCGTCCAACTTAATATACGCACCCAAGCCGGTTACGCTTTAAGGCTTGCCCATGCGTAAGTGTTTTCCCTTGCTTCGCGAATGCACAGAAAGAGTTGACTAATGCACAAAATGTGCTTGATGACCACAGCAGAAAAGATGCAAAGTAATTCTCCACTCCTGCGAACAGTACAAGAGATAAAGAGCAATGTAACGGAGCTTCGAACCTTGATGGTATGTAAGAAAGATGAACTACATAAACTAGACATTCAAGAGAATATTTCATTTCCTCTTGAGTCATTGCATAGTGCAAGTGCTGCGAGTATGGTGTGTGTAAGCAGTAAAATCTGTGGTTTTGTCATCATGCAGTGCGAAGTATACATTCGGTTATGTTTGCATCGTTTTATATAGGTACAAAAATCTGAATTTCTTGTTAATGTCCGTTCATTGATGGGCTAGGGCTACCTTTGATAACCGAACATGTATGCGGAGTTCCTGTGGGGAATTACGCGCATGGGTGTTGGGAGATGCGGCACGAGCGCGAATCTCTAGTACGAAGCGTGATGAGAAATCGAGTACTTAAAAGCTCTTAAAAAAATCATTTGACCATTTTCCCTCGACATTTTCCATGAAAATGAATTCAAACAGACAAAAATAACAGAGCTTTTTTTTCTGATATATCCTTTGATTTCCCTGTTTCATTTTTGCAGTACTCGATTTCTCAGAGTGCTTTGTGAGCTTGGATTGTCATTGCTTATTCTTCTGCGTTATGTGGTTCTCGTTTGGCTTACGCGCGGAGAAAGAGTTTAAAACTAAAGTATCAATTATAGGTATGGCAGTGGCGGATCCAGGATTTTTCAAAGGGGGGTTCCGTTTCTTAAACTGTGTATAATTCTCTTTTGTTTAGTCGATGTCTGACAAAAAAATTGGCTCTAATCACCTAATTTACTATCAAAGTAACTGAACTTAAAGATAAATTAAACATTATAACAGCAAATATCTATCATTTCGTGTTGAACATTATCCTTGTGGATACTTTTAAGCAAAATTTATATAAGACATATTTCTATTACCTAAAAGATCAAATCTTCAAGCGGGTTCCGTGGAACCCTTCGAACCCCCCCTGGATCCGCCACTGTATGGATGTTCTTGTTTACATCATCTCTGTATTTGCATGGAATTACTTCTCCCTCTACTGTACAATGTCGAGCTTCGTCGACGACTGAACAAATAATAAAAGAACATTGTCTGGGTCTTTTCTTTTCTTTACTTATCTGAAAATATAACTAAATAATGCCTTTGATGAATGTTTGCAGCAATGAATAAAGTTGTGTTTGAACTAACCAAGCACCCTTAGCTATCTTAAATAGATATGAAAGCGAACCAGAACAAGCACGTAGACAAGCAAAGGATGCGTAAAGAGACGCATTTTTGGCCAAGGACGACCGCTGCTGATTATACGCATTGTATACTCAGAAAAATCATTTATAGCCCACCGGCTCATGAAGACCAAGATATCCCCTAATCGAGTTCACTGCCATGGTTATAAAGCGCTCGGGACCAATGTGGTGAACTACAACACAGGAACTCCCTCATGATTAGTGTAACTGCTCGCCATACTCGCAGCAATAAAATGTGACACTATTAGCTTATTATTAACAGATAAATTATCAATCAATCAAATATTACATTTCCTTGGAAATAGTGAATAGAAATGAGATTAACGGAATGTTTTTACTGTGTTCTCTTAAGAAGACAAAACCTGTGGAGAATAACAGCATCACATCATCACTCACAACAGCATTGGCTGCAATCAGACGAATGGAAGAAAAAGTGAAGCTGCTAGAACGAAAAATGGACGAACAAACATTGATGATAGTTAAACTACAAACACAGGTGAAACGATATCAAAAGGTGAAGCTCTAAACTCATTTTGACGTGACTAAATAATATAATTAATCCTTCTTGTAGATGGGCAGCAGCAATGGTACAATATCTGGAGTAGTAGGACCACCAGGTCCCAGGGGCCCAGAGGGACCTCGTGGACTAACTGGACCTGAAGGTCCCCCAGGTAGAGATGGGACACAGGGACCTGCAGGAGCAAGAGGAATCCAAGGCCCTAAAGGTCATCCAGGTTATAACGGCACCCAAGGTATCCCAGGAGAACCTGGTTCAGGAAACCTTACTGCGTGTGTGTATCAAGTGGCCAAAAGTGCGGGCGCTACTGCTGGAAATAGCGCTAAAACTGAGGTCGGCATTCCTGAGCCTAGGGTAAGAGTTTGATCAGTAGTAGAAAAGTAAAAACTATAACCTCTGTAAAGCGTCCAACTATTAAGCGGTCAACCTTCATTTAAGACCAGTTCTTAAAGTCCCAAAAACTTTTTTTGCAGTAATTTATGCCAAGAGCGACCAAGATCTATTTAGCGGTCAGTTGTGAAATTACCAATTAATGGGATTTTTTTAAGCAATAATTTATAACTCTATCAAGCGGTAAACTTCCATTTAGCGGCTACTTGACAATTCCCTGAGGGTCTAGGGATCTTGGGTGTTTACCATTTAAACCAATCCATTTAGTAGGGAATTTGTTTGCTATTGGTTATAAAAAAGAGCGGGAAAATTTAACTTTCGACAAATGGTACACGCGTCTACCGGATGAACCAAAAAGAGCGGGAAAAGTGGATTACCTCACGAATTGAAAACCGAGTTTTCCGGAACTTTCCGATAGGAACGACACATATACCGTAATTTTCCAACCGGCATTCCCGGTTTTCCAAGTAAGATTCAAGCGTCCCTGGTTGTTATAAACAATGTAAACACGGTAACTTTGCTGCATTGCTATATATTTCAGGACCAGCGCATAGTCGGAGCCACGTGTTCAACAAATGATGCTGAAGTAAGCATTCTTAGTTCAGAGGTGTCCCAAGTTACAAATATGAGGATCTACAAATGCATGTGTAGCGGTAGCTCAGGGCTAATTCCGTCGGCCAATACACCCATGTACTGCTATATACACTATTGGATCTGTCCTTTGATATCTTGAATACATTCAATTGCAAAATGTTTGTCGGGTAGAACCAAGAGACCAAGAAGGTTTCTTGGGAGACATTTTTTAGAACCTGAGACCGAAAGGGTAGATGGGAAGTAATTAATTAGATGACGTCAGTGATACAACTGTGGAATGTTCATAAATTGTTGCCCCAACAGAAACAGAAGGCGTTGAAACTTTTATTCCCATGTTTCATATCGACTGTGTATCTCAAATGAATACAACAGAGGATACCTATGTCATTTCCCAGAATACCCTTCGTACTCAGTTTCTGTGTTCTATGCATGTTTTGAACAGTGATTTTGCAATTGAGTGTATACGACTAGCATTCACTTCATATCAATCATATCCATAACCGATCACACTCGATACCATAAAGAGTTTTCACTCACGTGACATATTGGTGTACCAAACAATAGAAGCTTCCTAATCACTTTTTGAATAAAAATAGAAACCAATTCCTCGAGGACTAAAGTGTATGGTTTTGGTACACCAACATAGTCACTGTCGTTATGTGAAAACGCTCTATATGAATGCGGAAAGGCGGATTATGGATGTTGAATCTTAAAGTAATACTTAGACCAGTCGTCGTCGCGACAAATTAGGTGAACGTCAATCAAGGCGTTTCCATACCGCTGTCCGAAACACAAAGGTTTAAAGGGTCGGTTCTTATAGAATGTCATGGAAACACCTTAATAGATGTTTATGAAAGCCTACTTCCTCGCGACGAAGATATATAACGAAACCGCGATTTTTTTTAGAAAAATCAATGACAACATCTGAATGTTAGACTCAGGCCTTTTTCAGATGAACTATTAAGTAGACCCAGTCCCTTGTGAACTCAGCTCTTGATGACCTTCCTACTTTAATAACGCATAATATAGCAGTTTGGAGAAACGTAACGACGATAGACTATCCGTCYAGACCAGTCTAAATTGTACATAATAAGTAAATACGTTGCATATAAATTGAAACTTTCCTTTGTGTAAACTACTTGCAATTTTTCTCAATAGAATAAAAAGGCAAAAAGGTTGGTTAAGAAAGAAAGCTTAATGATTACATTGTCCTACATTTTGTCCCAGAATAGAGTGTTCTTTAATTGAATGTACACGCTATATACGTGCTTATATCTGTACAATATTGATTATCAGTTTATAACGAGTTAATTTTGCGCGTATAGAACATCCAGAGATTTGGTGTTAAAGAAAATGTATTAACTTTGCTGTCGGGATATAACAATGTAATCAAATTATTATTATAGATTTAAAGGAAAGTATATGCAGTTACCACGTGTCTT